AGAAAAAAAACTAGTTCAACAAAATCAGCCAACATATTGATCATATATAAAATAATCCATACATATGGTTCTTGACCTCTGCAAAAAAAGGAGGGAAATATATTTTCTCAATCTCCTGAACAAACAGCCACATTTACAATGCTGTTTTGTTTTTATTGCTCTATTTTTATTGTTGTAGTTGTATATATTTTTTTCTGTTTTCTGTTTCTCTACATCAATTAATATAATGATAATAGCTAACATTTATGTAGGTTAAGATTTGCAAAGCACTTTACATACATTATCCCATTTGATCTTTCCAACAAGCTTGTGAGGTAGGTACTATTATTGCCTCCCTTTTATAGATAAGGAAACAGATATTGAGAGAGGTTAAGTTATTTGCCCAGGGTTACATAGTAATTTTCTGAGTTTTAGTTTCCTTATCTATAAAATAGAGAAAATAACACCTACCTCAAAGGGTTTTTGTGAGGATAAAATGAGATAAAATATGTAAAGTGCCTTATAAACCTTAAGGAGTTATATACATGCTAGCTCTTTGTTATAATTACTGATAATGTGATTTGTTTCCAGTTGTTAGCTCCCATAAAAGTACTAGTATTAAGTTTTGGTGCATAGGAGGTCTTTTTCTTTTTTTAACTACTTTAGAGTATATACTTGCAAATCTCTGAGTTAAAGTGCATGAACATCTTAGGTCCTTAAAAAAATAAACTAACTAAGTCTTAGCTCCATCAACAAGGTATGCATGTTTACTGCCCCTTCAACAATAACCAACTACCCTTTTGGTTTTCTTTGTTATCTTGTGGCATGGTATGACATACTTTGTGAAGCCTTGCTAGTTCCTTGTGATCATCATATTCTTTTTCCAGATGTTTGATAACTATACTCTTAATAATAAATTCAATAATTTTTACCAGAGGCAAATTAAGTTCACAGAAATGTAGTTTATGGCATCTATTCTCTTATCTCTCTCTTTTTAAAAATCCGGACATCTGATCTCCTATAGTCTTGAGAGGGACCTCTCCTATTCTCCACATTATTTAGGAGGTCACTGGAAGTGGCTCAGTAATTATGTCTACCAAGTTTTTCAGTAGTCTGGGATGCAATTCATCTGGACCTGGTTACTTGTACTTCTCAAGATCAACCCAGAGCTTTCTTACTATCTCCCTACTTACCTTAGTTTTAGGTTTCCATTCTCTATTCTCATGTTTCCATGATTATTGACTTTGGCTGAGGAAATAGAAGAATAATGAAAGTTGAATCTTTCTGCCTTCTGTTATTGTCCCATCTGTCATGAGGAGCCCTTCCATCTTTTCGTTGATTCTCTTCTTTCCCCCTCTCTAGCTTTAAACACCTTTCTGTTGTTCTTAATTCCCTTCACTGGTCTCACATCATTCTAAGCGTTAGTGTTGTTGACATGATTCCAATAGGGTTGCACTTAAATTCATCCTCTACTACCTGTCCTTGCTTCCATCTCCTATAAATGATTATTTAAAATCTGAGAATGAATAAATGCAATAATAACTACAGCAATGCAAATGAAGATAAATCTAAAGGGAAAAAAATCAGCTTAGCTCAAAAATAATGGAAAAAGTTGGTTCCAAATTATTAAAGTTAAAGCACATATGTTCCTTTCTGGTTACAAATAGTAATGAGCAGAAGTGTAAAATAGTATGCACTATCAGTCACGATCATTCATTTAGGCTTGCTTAATTGTTTTCAGGGAATGTACTTTGTGGAGATTTATTTTCATGCTGATTGGTATATCTGTCATACCCAAACAAAAACATGTATGTAAAATAAGATAAAATAGCAAAATATAAAAAGTAAATTCTACAGCACCCCTTCTTGGCAACCTCTTCAACTTAACACTCACAAGTTATGGGCCATGTAGGTGTCATGGTTCATGTTTGAGCAAGTGTGGTTCACATCATCAGGAGGGCTTACCTAGTAAAAGGCTCACTGCTAGTTTTGATTGGGGGCAGGAAATGGACATAGGAGTGCTGGCTGAAAACTGAACGGTATCTTATGTGTCTTGTTACTAGAGCAGGTTTGTAGAGGGATTTCTTTGACCTTCTGCTGGTTCTAAGTCACTTGTAGAGATTCTCTAGCAACAGAGCTATAGGAAGAAGATCAAAGTAAGTTACCTAATAAAGTACCTTATACTTGCATCCCATTATAGCAGCTCAGAAATGCTGGGGCCCTGCAAGGTTCATTGTTAAAAAAAAAAAAAGATTACAAAAACAAGATTCATTATTCAAAAAATTATGGTTTTACCTGGTACAATTAAAGAGATTTGCTCAGAAAGGAAGAAGGAAGGATGTTGTTGTAACAACTTCAAGACTTCCTCCAGGCCTAAGCCTGGAGTATAGAGTACAGAGTGATGTAACACAGGTATAACAGCATAAAGCATTCTTACTTCTGTTTAATTTCAGTTACGAGTCATAGCTAACTTTTTGGAATAGCCAATTATAGGCGGGTTCAGGATTAAGCAGATAGGAGACATTCCTGTTCAAAAAGGAAATAGCACAAACTGAGTTAAGAGGCTCCTGCCATTACTTTTGTAAGGCTGTCCTCGAAATCTTCCCAGGGACAGATATCCACTTACAGCAGTTCTCAAGTCACACTCCCTTTGAGCAGCTCATGTCACCTTTCTTGAATTTCAAGAATGAATTTCTTGAATTACTGCTATTAATATTAATGTTATATTACTGTTAGTCATACTGAATTAAATTATTAATTAATTATCTGAATTAAAAACAAAATTCAAATTACAGTTTTAAGACATTTTACCACAAACAGCAAGTTTCAGTAATCACAGCTTAGGGTTAGGTACAGTTATTATTATTGTCATTATTATTTTTCTCATGTTGTTTCAATAACAGTGAGTTAACAATAGAAAGTTTACCAGGTTTTTTTAAAAAAATCACTCAACATCTTTTTCTTCTTTTTTTCCTTTCTCTAGTTTAAACTTATCTTAGTATAAAAAATCAATCATTAAACATTAAGAAAATAATCACATCCTGGAATTCCACATAGATCTATCTAGTTTTAAATGTCCAAGAGGTAAGTGATGTGACTTGACCTCAGGAGAGAGAGAGAGAGATGGGGGCATGATGCCTATAGTACATCTGAGAGTCATCTGCATAGAAAACTAAACATATGGAATTGATGAGAGGGAGACAGACAGACAGAGACAGAGACAGACAGAGACAAAGACACAGACACAGAGAGACAGAGGCAGAGAGAGACAGAAACAGAGACAAAGAAGAAGATGGTGATGATGATGATGATAACACAAGAGAACAGAGCTTTAGAGGAGAAATTACATTAGTAGAAATGATACAGAGAATAAGCCTTCCAAAGAGACTGAGAGGGAGCCATCAGAAGGGAAACCAGGATTATCATAAAAAGCATGAGAAGATAGTAGCCAGCAAGAAAAAGTGATGAGGATGGTCAAATACTATAGAGAGGTCAATAAAAATGAGGACTTAGAAAATATCAAATTAGGCAACTAAGATTATTGGTAACTTTGAAAAGTAGTTTCAGTTGTTGAATGATCAACTAGGAAACAAGATTACAAAAGGTTGAGAAGGGAATGAGAGGAGAGGAAGTAGAGGTAATAGCAGGGACAGAATTTTTTTTTAGAAGTCTGAGAAAGAGAAAAGAGATATAGGACGATAGTTTGAAGAGATAGTAGGGGCTACTGAAAGTTTTTTAAGGATGGCAGGGTAGGACTTGGCCAAATTTGAAAGCAGCAGAGAATCAGTTTAAGTCATTTAGACTATTATGATTATCCAAATTAACTACAAAGAATATATGGAGGAAGATGTTATCTGTATCCAGAGAAAGAACTGATAAATAGAAGTAGGTATAGAATGGTTTTATACGTATATACGTATTTGTGTCTAATGGAGCCATCTTTAGGGTGAGGGAGAGGGAAGAAAAAAAAGAAAGTTACATCATAACTCATATTTTTAAAAGGAATAGCAAGTTGTACATAACAGATTTGCAGTGTCATGTACAATCATCTTTTCCACCATTCTATTATGTTATAGAAATGCTTGTTCTATTTCTTAAGTTCAGAAAAATAAATAAAAGAAAAAATCAGTTGATCAGGAGAGATGAAAGATTAGAGAGATAGACATAATAATAGTAGGAACAATCTGCTGGAGAAAATGGCCAAGAATGGGATCAAGGGAATTTGTGGAGGGGTTGGCCTTAGACGTTATCAAAGACTAGAATAAAGACAAAGAAAACCAGGAATGATATCAAAGGGTTTTGAGTTGAAGAGAAGAAAAGAGGAAACTCATAGTGAATAGTTTAATTTTTTTTCAGGAAATAAAAGGAAAGTTACTTACTGAGTAGGAAGGAGAAAGAGAACTTAGGGGAGACTTGATAAGAAAAGAAAAGGTTTGGAAAAATTCTGTGAGCAGTTGAATAAGGATTCAATTAATAAAAGCAAAAGACCTAGAGAAAAATGGAATGAACTTGGAGCTATTTATTCAATCTCTCAAGGCTCTAAATTGAAACAACCATTGCCTTTTATCATTCCCAGTTATAGTTTCCACATTTTTTTTTGACAATCATGTGAACATGGGGTTTCTCAATATCATCACCAGTATCCCCTATTCTGTAACTTTGAAAAGAAAACAACACCCTTCAAACCCCCCAAAACAATATAGAAGATTTCTAGGTCTCAGGAAAAAAAAAACAAACACCCATCACTTTAAAGGAAGGCAAGGTATTCCAAAAAGATGAGCTTATTTGCCTTTAACTGTGGCCAAACAGTATTTTAAAAAGCAAATTCGAAGTTTTAAAGGAGAAAAATCAAAACAAACAAACAAAAAACCAACTCCTTTGCTTCATGGTCAAATGCAAATAAGGATAACCACAGTCATAACCAATCAGAACTAGACTGAGCTGGCCTTTTTTTCTTTTCTTTTTTTTTTCTTTTGATTAGTAAAAGCTGGATTTACAAGCATGCTTTTATGCTCTGCTCAGCAGCTTTAAAGTGGTGGGAAAAGACGTGGCCACTGTATGAAATAACCTGTCTCAAGATTTTAAAAATCCTCACAAAATATCTCAAAGGTGTGAGAAGACTTGTTGCATTTCAGTATCTGAATTGTTGAGATGGATGAGACGACTCCCCTGACCTATCTGGATATCTACGCTACTAGCCAAGGTCTGGACTTTGAGGATGACCACTTGTACGTCCTGTACACATCTGTCTTCCTTCCCATCTTCTACACTGCTGTGTTCCTGATCGGTGTTGTGGGGAACCTGATCCTGATTGGAGCCTTACATTTTAAACAGGGAAGCCAAAGACTGATTGACATATTTATCATCAACCTGGCTGTCTCTGACTTCATTTTCCTTGTTACGCTGCCGCTCTGGGTAGATAAGGAGGCATCCTTAGGCCTGTGGAGGACTGGCTCATTCCTGTGCAAGGGAAGCTCATACATCATTTCAGTCAACATGCACAGTAGTGTCTTCTTCTTGACCTGCATGAGTGCTGAGCGCTACCTGGCTATCATGTGCCCCTCTGCATCCAGGAAATTCAGGAGGAAAGATTGCACTTATGGTGTCTGTGTCAGTGTCTGGTGTATCTCCTGCCTTCTGGGCTTGCCCACTCTTTTGTCCAGGGACCTCATAATGATCGAGGACAAACCCTATTGTGCAGAAGAGCCAGCCACTCTCTCTAAACATGCTTGGGCCCTCATGTCCTTAATTTTCACTTTTTTTGTCCCCTTGCTGAGCATCTTGACCTGCTACTGTTCTATTGCAAGGAAATTGTGTGCATACTACCAGCAGTCAGGAAAACACAACAAAAAGCTCCAAAAGTCCATAAAAATTATCTTCATCGTAGTGGCAGCCTTTGTCAGCTCTTGGCTACCTTTTAACATTTTCAAGGTTTTGTCTATCATCTCTGGGCTGCAAGAAGAACCCTTCTTTTCCTCAGTCACCCTTCAAGTGGGCATGGAGGTCAGTGGTCCTTTGGCATTTTCTAACAGTTGCATTAACCCTCTCATTTATTATTTCTTTGATGGCTATATACGGCGAGCTATTATCTGCTGTCTTTGTCCTTGTCTGAAGAATTCCAACCTTGGGAGCAGCACTGAAACCTCAGACAGCCACCTTAGTAAGATCTTTGCCAACTTCATTCATGGAGAGGATTTTTCTAGAAGGAGAAGGCGTTCTGTGTCTCTGTAAAAGTAAGGGAGTGAAATATTTTTAGGAAAAAGTTTTTTTTTTAATGGGAGGTGGGGAAAGGGCAATTTGAATGGTTTTATCAGGAAAAAGAAGAAAGGAGAAAAGGCCATGGATGTGACTGAATCAATTGTTATTTATTCAAGTGGCCTGTCTTCTCTTAGGAGGACTGTTCTTCTTGGACTCTTGAGCAATGGATCCCAGTTGATATTGTCCCTTCAGTGTGTTTTGTGATACACCTTCAGACTTTTTTTCTCTACTAAGAACTATCTCACCTCTCTGGATATTGTGCTTCTATTGGAAATACCCTTTGAGAAAATGAACATATTTTGGCCACTGACAAATATGGTCACAATGTCTGGGGTGAGCTTTATTTATGGTGCCTGTATTTGATTTTTTCTGAGATCCGAATCAAAGTTCTCACTTCAATCCCATTGGTTTCTAAGTTGTCTTTTGCCCTTAGTCTTTTCTCTATATTTGTAGAGTGGCAGGGAGCCCAGGGAGACTGGAATTAGGTTAAACTGAAAGGGGAGGGGTGGTGGTAAAGATGAATAATGCAAAAACATTTTTTTAACCTTCATAACTGCTGACAGCCTGTCCCTATCCTAAGGACTGTTTTAAACTTGCTATACTTTTTTGGTCTGCTGGAGTCTTTATAGATTTATGGTATTTGGGTCAAGAAAGCAAACACAGGTCAAGTTCTGTCCTTAGAAAGAGATCTGGCTACTGATCAGAGAGACTGATAGAAGGGTATTTTCATGATGATACTTTAAGTAAATGCTTTTTAATGGTGTTTTGTTATGTGCGTCATGCTCTCTCATTAGCAATAGTTCCATAAATGAATGTTTTAACTTTCTGCAATTATATGGCTTTAATAACATAGGTGACTAATGTAAAACATGGCTAATAATATAATGGGTGGCATTTGGATTTCTGGATTCAAACTAATGGAATGAATGACTTGTTTTTAAAATCCCAAGATCACAGTTTTCTATGGCACTATTCACCATGTGTAGATAGCGTTCTAAGATATAAATATTTGTGTAAGATGTTCTATGCTATCCTACAGAGAAAAAAAATGGCTTTTTAAAATGTTAGTGATCTTTAATATATAGGGTAGGGTCTTTGTCTTTTGTAAGATATTTGTCTTCCTGATTAGAGATATTAACAGATGTTTGTTTTCATAATGATGTTTCAAGTTATTGATTTTTAATTGGATTTTAAAATACATGTTGTACTCTCGTTTGCAATAATTTCATAAAGGAATTTCAAAACTTGCTTTTAACGAAGTGTCTTTAATTCTATAGATGAATCATTCAGCTTTTTAAAAACTCTTTCTATACCATAAGATGCCTTTACTGAAAAAAATTCTAATAAATTTAATCAACATAGTATGATGGTTATAGAAGGAACTTTTATTTTTTTTTTGTTCAATTGTGTCTGACTCTTTGTGACCTCATTCAAGGTTTTCTGGTAAAGATACTGGGAGTGGTTTGCCATTTCCTTCTCCAGTTCATTTTATAGATGAGGGAACAGAGGCAAACTGGTTTAAGTGACTTGTCAAAGCTGACACAGCTAATGTCTGCGACTAGCTGTCTCAGGTCTGAACTCAGGTCTTCTTGACTCCGGGTCCTGTGTGCTATCCATCGCACAGTCCTAGCTGCCCAACAGTTATGGAAGGAAAATGTTTATCCAATAATCTACAGCACATCAAATATTCTGAGAAAACGGACAATTAGTTTAAAAATAACCAGACCTCCTAATGTCAGATATAGAGACTAAAACATATACGAAAAGAGAAGTCAAGTCCATACAAAAGAAAAGAACTTCATTTTAATGAGTAGCTTAGTTTAATACCTCATTTATCTTACTGACATTCTAGTGACATGGGGAAGGACAGAAACCCATTTTATAGATGGACGTGCCCTTATAGATAATAGTTTTTGTTGTTGCTCTTTGCGTTAGAGAATTTACTTTTATTGCTGTAGTTTTATACTAGGAAGTGAACATTTCATTTGATAACTCATTATGCATAACTTACAAAATTTTTAAATCTTCAAGTTGTTCTTTATATCATTCAGTTCCAGATTTCATACATAAACTTCACGCAAGTTTGAAAAACTATAGATTAAAATGAAAAGCATCAGCATCAGGAAAAGGAGTCAGCCCAGTAGTTTTTCCATTTACTGGAGCATTCAGATGACTTGCATTCTACCTATAGTCACAGTATTTGTCCCTTCCTCACAACATTAGTTATTTGTCTCCTTTAAGAGATTGCTTGAATTTTTTCAAGACCTCCCACCAATAGCTTGATTTGGTTTTATATATTTAAAACTCAAGTTTGAGGATGTGGATTAAAAGATGCATTAACAAAGGTATCTATTTTCCCTATGAAAACTCCTTATTGAGACTGCCAATGGGTACATATCCTACTGTTAAATATCAACATAGAGTCGTAACATATCCCTGCACTAATTGATCATACAAGAATCCTTATAGTAAAAGTTAGACCATTTAGACAGAATAGAAAACAATTCAGTAAAAAATAAACCAAAGAAATCAGACAAGTTGCTCGTCTGAATTGATCAATTGTTTGATGGAACTGATGTGTCAAACTAGTCAAGGCAATAATGATTAGGGATATGTTCTCTGAAAGCCGAGGAACATCTTTGTAACTTCAAACAGTCTATGAGTCACAAGTACCATAGATTAATTTTATTTCTACAGATTGTCTTCTAGTGCAATCAATAGTGCTGTTTAACAATATGGTTTTATTATAAAATATTTTATATGATGAAATGTAAATTATGTTATAGAATACAAAATTCTGGAATTGGATCGGTGATTTCTTTCAATTGAATTTTTAAAACAAATTTTTTGGTCAGCTTTTTTTTTTTAATGGAAGTTTTTCAGCTCTGTAGTTAAACTACCTTCAGGAGGTTTCCCCTCCTTAGAGGTCTTCAGTAGAAAGCCCAATGACCACTTGTTGAAATATTGAGGTGTTTCTTTGTCAGGTGAAGGTTTGACCAGATGGCCTCTTGGTTCCTAGATTTTGTGATCTCTGATTCTGTGATCCCTCAAATGTTATCTTCACGGTGATATAATAGGGCCATTGCTATAATGTCAAAATGGTCCATACTGCTAAGAATTCTTGAGTAAAAATAGCTAATAATAATAGCTAACATTTATTAAGAGCTTGCTATATGCCAAGCACTATGCTAAGAACTTTACAATTATTATCTCAACTTTGGGAGGTGGGTGCTATTATTATTCCAATTTTTACAGATGAGGAAACTGAGGCAAACAGTTAAAGAGACTTCCCCAGGGTCACATATAATCCATCTGAACATGAGCACCCCAAATTGTTGTTTATCATTAGCCTCCCTGAGTAGAAAAAAATACAAGCACCTGTGTTTTAGGCTTATCTCTGCCAAAAAATAAAACAAAATAAAACAAAACCATGCTTTATAACCTTGATTAAGTTACATAATCTTACTGATTTCATACAGTCTTTTGTAGAGTTTCCATCTCTATAAATTGAAAGCATTTTAAAACGTCCCATTCTAATGTGGCCACAGAACATTGAAGCTTTTACTCTATTGACAGAACCCATAAATGCTGATCAAGGTAAATGAAGAAGAAGGTCTAGGCACATGGAATACTTTTGGAGCAAAGTGAAATGGGAACATTTGGGAGCAAAATAGAGAAAATTAAGCTTACTATCTTACTGAAAAATAGTCATGCTCATGAGATATTTTTATTTATTCATTATTTTATTTTTAATATTTTCGATAGGAAAAATGACAATAAGCTTTTCTTTCCATTTTCACCCTCATCTGCATAATTTTGGACACTCGACTTTATTAGGAAACTGAGAAATGTTAGACTAAATCAAAGGTTCTTATGTTTTTTGTGTCATTGACCACCTTGGAAATTAGGTCAAGTCAATGAACTTCTTCTCAGAAAAATGTTTTTAATAGCATAAAATATTATACATAAGAATACAAAGGAAACCAATTACACTGAAGTACAGTTTTCAAAATGCTAAAAAATAAAGTTCACAGACTCTAGGTTAAGAACCACTAGATGATATCCAAGGTCTTTTCCAACTCTAACATACAATTCCCGTAATTTCTTATTTAGAATAACTAGCAAAATAATCATTTGGAAATTGTCACAGATTGATACCATTTTAAAATCCCTAGTTATATGAAATGATTATTAGCTGTATAAGGGACTTTCATGAACAAAGAAATGGGACTTTCCCGTATATTCCCAGGTTCTTTTTTCTTCAATCACCCATCATTTGGCAATGGATGAGAGCTAACAAGCCATGCTTTTGAATTTTAAAATTTATAAATATTTCTAATAAGCAAACACCCACACCCACACACACCCACACCCTACACCATCACCACCACCTCACATCATAACAACTATTTTCAGATGAAAACTAACCTGGTTTATTTTTCCTCAAATTTCTCCATTTTTTCAATCACAAAGACTTAGATTTTACTCCCAGATGAACAGAGACAACTCTCCCTAATAGACAGGAAGCTATGTTCGTGACTGAATATAAAATGTGCCCAGAGGGTCACAGACCAATTTCTCATTTGATACAGAAATTTCAACTGAAAGTGAGTTGGATGAAAGAAATCTTCCTCTGTGATTCATTTTGACAACCCCAACCATCCTCCTCTGTAGCAATATCGTAAGCTAGCAATGACTTGCATAATGTACATGCCACAGGAAAAAAAAAATTCCCAGTAGCTTGTACTCACAAAAACCACAAAGTGACAACATTGCCCTCTCTCCATCACATTGAATTCAAACTTGCTGATATGGCTAGACTTTTACAGTTGCTGTTCACTGGCAAAGGGACAGACTTGTCTAAGGAGAGCCAATAGGAAAGAAGCAGAGGAAATAAGTCTTATGGCTAGAACCTTTGTTACTATTGTCAAATGAGTGAATTCTCCCTTTACCAATCAAGGGGTTAAGTTGGATTCTCCCTGTATACCTTTTAGATACCTTAATGAACAGCAATGAGCTTTGCTTTTTTCATTAAGTCGATTCACACACTAAATAATAACAGCATAGGCTATTTTTCCAGGATAAGTACAAATGCATCCAAAGAACTTACAGTTCCAATGAACATGCAATAAATAAATTGCTCTCTTGCTTTCTACTATGGGTGCAAGACTAGATTTCAGAAAATATTAAACTTATCATTCCTGAAATTCAGAGTTATAATCAAAGTAGGGTGATCAGTCCTTTGCCCCAAGGAATCAAAATTTTTAAGGAGCTATCAGTACTTACACTTCTTCAACAGCTTAGAAACAGCTAAGCACCCTGTTAGCAAGAATTAGTTAAAACAGGAAAATATCAGATGATCTCAACCCTCTTCACCCTCAACATCACTGTAGGTACAGTGCTCATTGGCCTGGTCCTGCCCTTCCCTACACACATTGCTGTACACCCCCAAAAGAGACCTCAAGGTGTGTCAGGGGTATTACCTGGTGGAACCTTGTGTCTCAGTGTCCTTCACCCTTATCCCCTCAACAAAACTTGTCTTAAAAAGTTGATTTCAGGATGCATTTTGTGAAAGTGGTAAAATTATTAGAGATGGTTCTAAGGAAATTTTCAAAAATATAAACCTATTAATTTGTTTTAAAAACTAAATTGAAATTCATATTGTTGATAACCTAATTAATAAGATTAAGGTTCTTAAAATGTATCAATTCACCTAGCAACTTCTACCTAAATATCTGCCTAGAAATCTGATTTTTGTTTTCTGTTTTGTTTTTAATTTTTGCTTTTTATTGGGTCTCTGACTTTAATGAATAGTAATTCATTCACTAGAATTAGTCATTTAGAAATGCTGACAATCCTGTAATTCTGATTCTTTTATTTGGCAACTCCCATAATTCTTGGCAAATTCTTGCTGTTGTCTGAGCCAAGAAGCAAAATGATATTTCAAAGTTCTAAGACACAATTATGCTTAAACATTCTGATTAAAGCGGCAAAACTAGCTACTTATGGCTAAAAAGGTGTTCAAGTAAGACAGCAGGTTACTGTGACATTTCATTCTAGTTATACTACACCAAAATAAATATGTTCCTCACAGCAAATGTGCCAGGTACAATTAAGGATGTCATATGCTTGATATTTTAGAGTGTTTTTCTCATTTATCAATTTACAACCTTTGATGACTGGCTCTT